GCGAGATGCGAGATAAGTCTGTACTGTTCATAAAAAGCTTTTCTATCCCGGCCCCACTAACTCTCACCAGCCCATGCCCCCCGTCCCCGTCCCCCCAAAAGCTAGTCTGTCCACTTTCATGCCTCGGCTTACTGGTAAATCGCAGGCACTCATCAGTGTCCTACCGTCTTGCCTGTGCTCTGGATGTCCTGGCCTGCAGAGCATCCTTTGAAAATCGGAACCGGTGAGCGACGGAGGAGATCCACGCGTCGGGGAACAGTGCCCTCTACTGTTCACACGGAGCATATGCAGCTGTGGTCCAGCCAAGGGCCTCCCGGTGGTGGTAGCCCGGCCAGACTGCCCAGAGGTCTGCTGTGATGGAGACGCCGCCGTTTTGAAAGGCAGCGTCTCGGTCTCGGGTACAAAAATGCCGCAGAGGCCGGCTAGCCGGCTGCAGCAGCTCTCTCCCTCGAGTTGCAGGTTGCCTCCGAGTTTTCTCTTTTCTTTTTAATGCCGCACACGCACCGCTCCTCATGTTCACAGCAAGCAGCGAGGAGCCGAGGTTTGTTCTGCCCCTTCTCGGAGGAATTTTGAAAGCAATGATGCTAACCAGCGCGCCTTAGCGCCAGAATGTCTCTGCTCCTGGGGATCGCAGGGTTAAAAGTTCAAGTCACTTAAAGGCAAGGCAGTTGTAGCTGTAGGCCAAGGCAGTTGCCTCACGGTTGTCCTAGAGAGGGAAGCCGTCTATCCTTCTGCATCCCTAGTTCCCATTTCCCTTCTCCCCGGTCGTTCCATGAAGCCATCCCGAATACCACCCTCCTCCCTTAATCTTCTACAGCGCTTTGTTGGCTCTTTGCCGCTGAGGTTGTTGTTAAGTGGGCTCCCTAGCCGCTGACCTGAGGACGAGGCATTTACGCCCCTTCATCTTCAGCTACCTTATTCTGGGCCGGAACACTGCACCAGGCTCCCATCTTTATCTTAAACAAGGATTGAGACGATAATACAGATGCTGGGGCCGCTCACGCCGAGCTGTTTGCTCAGCGTTATCCCACTTTCGCCACAAGCAGAGGAAACACAGCGATGAGACATTCACAACAGGGGAAAATTCTCGAAAATTTTCTTCAAATAAATGAATCGGAAATTACAACGCGTGGAAGTACTTTTTTTTTTTTTTCCTCCCCAATTCTGAGTTTCAAACGCTTGAGGTCAGAGAGTGTCGATACCTCTGTCCCCGGGGCAGAACGCTTGTGATGGAGTTCTTCTGCATCGTCTTTCTGTATGCCAAGAAGGGACTCCATAACCTAACACTGACTGCCCAGCGGGAGCAAATTACCGGGGAAGGAAGGGAGCGTGGGATGCGTAAGGCGGACTTACCTTGGTAGCCTTCCAGGACCCAGCATTTTGTTGGGACTTACCGTTCGGAATATGCAGGATTAGGGTCCAGCCCAAAGGTATAAAGAATTTAACGGTTCCACACGATTTAATAGATCGACTTGCCCACGCTTGCTTGAGACAGGCTCTCACTATGGAGCTGGTTAGCCTGAAACTCAAGGTTCAGCAGTGTGGCCTGGAGTTCACAGCGATCTGCCCGCATCTGCTTCAGTCTTTTTTGGTACTTCTGTTTAGTTCCTTCCATGGAAAATATTCACCCAGAATAGACTTGTAGGACGTGTGTGTGTGTGTGTGTGTGTGTGTGTGTGTGTGTGTGTGTAAGAGCCCAGAGGCTGATATTAACATTTCCTTCCCCTACCGCTTTACACTTGAGGCAAAGTCTTTCCCCAAACCTGGAGCTCACAGCTTCGGCTAGATTGACCCCAAAGCCTCTGGGATCTGCCTGCCCATTTGCTCAGCCCTGGGGTAGTTCCTCGGGTGCTAGGCTAGGACTCTGAACTGAGGTCCTCATGCTTTTGCAGCAGGAATTTTACTACTGAGCCATCTCCTCAGCCTTGGATTTTTTCATAGCTTTTGTTACTTTAGATTAATTCTTGGGAATTTCATTCAGTAGCGCATTTCGATCCCGTTTATCCCCCCAAGCGCCTCCTGTTCAACCCTTCCACCCTCACCTCCCAGCCGACCCAACTTTGTGTTTTATCTGCCCTTGCCAAGTCTAGTTTGTGTTGCCCAATGGCCCCTGTTTTTCATCCCTGACAGTGGCAGCTTATCTCATGGTCCAGCGCCACAGCTCACCATCTTTCTAGTGCTTCGACCCTTTCATGCAGTTCCGGTGGTGACCCCAACCATGAAACTATTTTCATTGATACGTCAACAACTGCGATTGTGCTGCCGTTAGTTCTGAATCAAAATGCAAACAGTTTGTACGCTGCACCTCTCATATTCATCTCTAATGTTCACCCCCTGTGAAAGGCTCGTTTGACCCCTAAAGGGGTCTCGACCCATGGGTTGAGAACCTCTGGCACACAGACCTGAAGCCACCGCCTTCATCATGGGGGATGACTGCCCCCCTCTGTCTTATACTATCCAGGTCCCAGCCTGACCCCAGGTATCTGTTTCCCCTTCTCCACGACAGTCCCTGTGACTCCCCTGTCTTGTACCACCAACCTTAGCTTAACAAAAGCTCTTTTTTTGCTCTTTGTCGTCCTTCAGACAGGAGCAATATGAAACCAGGGTTTGAAGTAATAACTATTTGGGAATTCAGGCATTTAGAGATGTTGCCTAAACATCCTAACAGCAGCTTTAGGAACTAAATTTACGACTGACTGCAGAAATAAGTGGTTTAGAACTGCTTTTATTAAATGAATTTTCTCTAGGGGGTCAGCATTTGAGAGTGCAGAAAGTGACTGCAGGAAAGATGTATGCCTTGGCGCCTTGCTTAGGCGATTTTTCTGGACCCTTTGGGTTCCAAGGACCCTAAGAGGAAAGAATCCTGACTACAGGAGAGGTCGGCTTTCTCCAGAGAACAGCCTGGCTTTGGTCACCAGACGTTTTCCTCATAACCGAAGTTAGAATCCGTTTTAATCGTAAGGACTTGACCTCGGTGCTAATGATTCGAACAGCAGGAGGGGTGTGCCTTGAGATCAGAGCAGGCTGCTTCCTTGTCTGTGCACAACACTGAAGGGCGGACTCACAGAGCCTTTGCAGAGCGCTCAAGTGAACGGGGTCTTGAGCTGCCTCTCAGATGTCCAGAACAAGCCTGTCTGATTTCTCTCCTTGGCTCATAACGTCAATAGCATCCCTTTCCGCTATCCACTGTATCTTCATTTGCTTTCTGAAGGATCCCGGCGCCTTGCGTGGGCTCACTTTTTCAACAGCGACACCACGTGGTCTCAAGAAGCAATAGCAGGAGACGGAACTACCTCATGCTCCTGGCCAGCTTCTTGCCTTAAATGTCAGAGCCGCCAAGGCGGTAGGAAGGAGGGGTAGAGTCCTGGCGGTAGGAAGGAGGGGGCACTTCAGGACGGAATCTGAAGATATTCTGTAGTAAGGCGCGTATGTGCTTTGGCAGTTTTGGAAAAATATGGGCTGCGGCCATATGTACACTGCCCGCATCTTCAAGAGTGGTTTATAGCAGTTGTGTGCCCTTTAGAGTCCTTGCTTGTCTTGGTTCTAGAGACCTGATTAACGACGCGCGTCTTATCCTGACGCGTCTGTAGGAATTTTTGGTATCTCAGTCTACAATCTTGAGGCCTTATAAATTTTGCTGTGGGAAGACAGACGGGGCTCCAGCTTTCGCCGGGTTGAATGTTTAAGGGAATGTCTGCTCCTGCTTGTCAAGCATTCCTCTCCCCATTTCTGGAAACACAGACTCTTTTTCTGTGGGAAACACACTGTAGACAATCTAGCTGAGCTGGTCCACTATTTCTTTCCTGTGCGTCTCTGGGTGTATGCGCACACACAGGCTCTGGTGCAGGACAGAGAAGGGAATCCCAGATCCTGCTTTGTTAATCTTCTTCTTCAGGCAGGGTCTCACTGAACTGAAGCCTACTATTTTTGGCCAGTGAGGATTTGCCCGTCTTTGTTCTTCAGCATTGGTCTTACTGGCACGACTGACTTTTTTTTTTTTTTTTTTTTTTTTTTTTTTTTTTTTTACATGGGGCTGGGAATTTGAAATCAGGTCCTCATTCTTCCACAGCAAGATAATCTTGCCCATTGCACCAATTTCCCTGTTTCTCCTTTTTACCTCTCTAACAAGGCATTAGAAGGATGCCTCAGGCTTGATCAATCAGAAAGTCTGTCCTGTTGGCCACCATGATTGTAAGACAGGGGTTAAATGATTTACCTCCAGACTGGCCAGCCTGTGTCCCCTGGGCTCTGCTATTAGACCTGTTGGCAAAGACTGTTTCATTCTGCTGAGGTTGCTTATTGGGTAGAACAGAATTTAGGGTGGTGACAGTCATACTGAACCAAAAAGGGAATGCCCAAGAAGGAAGAAAAGAAAATGAAATCCCGATGGCATTTTGAGGCTTCTTCCAGTCTTTCCTTATATTCATAGATTTTGGTTTATTATATTATTATTATTGTTATTATTATCATTGTTATTGAGAGAGGATATTCCTATATTGCCTCTGAAGAATTTTAATTCATGATCTGTCTTAGTCTCCTGAGTGTCTGATGTGACAGGTGTGGCACTCCAGCCAAGCCTGTTAATGGCTAGACACACACCAGGTTAGTTGACACTACTTTAGAGTCCCTTATAAGTTCTACTGTAAGAAATGGGGGATCTTCTCCATTTCAGGGATCTTGGTCATTAGATTTTGGAGATTCATGGAGCTCACCGGTTAGTTCTAATTTTACAAAGCACCTATAGCATTCTAAAATCAGCCAGGTTTGTTCCACTATGTACCATTCATTGTACCCATTCATGCAGAGACTTATTGACAGAGTTCTTTACTGGGCAAGGTTAATCTTGAAAAAGTGACACGGAGACAGAAGGTCACCAAGTAGGCCGCCCTCAAGGGGAAACCTGAGGAATACCCCTCCCCCCTGAAGAGTTTTCCACCTCCCATTTGTAAGCCACACCGTGTTCCTCTTGCCTTCTGCTGCCCACGGACACTGGTTGTGATTCAATGGGGTAACATATCATCTGTCTCAAGTGTGAGAGATGGAAAGAGGAAGCATCGCAGCCTCCATAAGACGTCTCTGCTCAGTATCTTAGGCAGTGCGTTGACGAGGAGGTCAGGATTGATAAAGCTGAGATGGAAGATTAGGTATCCTAGCAGTCTGATGAAAAACAGCATGGTGAACAAGAGGGAGCGGAACATCCTGAAAGAGAAACCCTGGAAACTGTTAATTAGGGGTTGAAAAACCTGGAACAGACCACCACCTCAGACTGGAGCCCATCCGAATCTTCACATTCCATTGACACCCCTCAACTGCTCCCACTGCTCAGTCAGTTATTCTTCCCAGGAACCCCTCATTTTATTTTCTTTATGCCATTTTCTCACCCTGGAACTTCATTTTGTTCCCTTATTTATTTATTTTCTTGGCCAACTATTTTGCAAAGTAGTTTAGTGGCATCTAAGTATGACTTTTTGTGGTCCCTCTTCTCCTTCAACAGAATCTTACCAGATGCTTAAGTCAAACATAAACAAGAATTCATTTGGCCTCATTCCACACTTCCTTGGTGAGCACTGAAGTTGAACATCTGTTTCAGGCTGGTTGATCTCACGTGTTTTTTTCCTCTTGCTCATTTGCCTATTAGGTGGCTTGTGCATTATCTGTTGTGGATATAGCGTTATCTACTGTGGATATAGATCTCTTTCCTATGTGTAATGTTCCCCAATCTTCCACCATTGTAATGCTCCCTTGTTCTCAGATATCAGAGAACAGAGGCTCGTAACTTTAATAAGATCTTTTTGTCAACCTTTTGTTTGACTGGAACGAATGCTTACGTCAAACATGGCACACTTGTCGGTAACCCCAGCGTTTGCGAGGCTGAGGCAGGAGAATCATGAACTGGAGATCAGCAGAGTGAACCCCTTTCTCAAAAGCCAAGCAACAAGACAAAGATACTCCCATTTTTCTATTCGAAGTCTGTGTGGCTTTACCAGCTAGCTGCGCACTCCTTACTAGTTTTCCTTCCCAGGCATGCTCTGGAGTGTGGACAGGACAGAATGGCTGCTTCTAAGGAAAATGTGGCAAAAATCAGAGTGAGTCCTAGTGGACTCTGGATTTGAGGAACAGCCAGGGGCTTCTGGGAGCATCCTGCTCCTTGTCTTGGGAATGTTCTAGGTAGGGATATGGGAACATGTTATATTTCCTATATGTGGAATTAAAGGGTGTTCTCCTTAACCAAACTTTCCAGACAATCAGGGCTGACTTTTAAGCACCAATAATTTTTAACTGCCCTGATGGAACTCTTTCTAAACCATATTTCATACCACTCTGAGAACATATTTCTTTATGCCTCCTTAAGCAGATCATATGGAACATAGTTTGGTCTTTTCTTGCATGTGGTGGGGCTTTGTGAATACTAATAATTGTTCCTTGCTGCCACAATGTTTCTCTTAGGACTGATATGTACTCCAGTGTTCAAATCTTCAATCCCTGTGCATTTAAAAAATTTATTATGTGCTGGATGGTATGAAAACAAATGTTTTCTGTTTCTTATTCCCGCCATTAGATGGTGGTAAATCTTGCATCCAGGTGTTCTGGCCCCCTCCCCACGTCCTGTCTTTCATTGCCACTGGGAAACTCTATTCGCCAAGCTACTTCAAAAATATGAGAGTTGCTTCATCGTTTGTGAGAATCAAGAGTCCTGTTCCTCGTAACCACTAAGTTGCTAGCTTCTGACACTGAGAAGCTGAGTTTATCAGTTGCCTTTGCTTCAGAAGTCAGGTCGCTATAACTGAGATATACAGCCAGTGGCACTAATCAGCTGGTGTGTGTGTGTGTGTGTGTGTGTGTGTGTATGTCTCTGTGTGTACTAGGTTCTTCTTGTCTAGATTTTTTTTTCCAAGACAGGGTTTCTCTATGTAACCCTGGCTGTCTTGGAACTCACTCTGTAGATGAGGCTGGCCTTGAGCTAAGAGATCCACCTGCTTCTGCCTTCTGCGTGCTGGGATTAAAGGAGTGCGCCACCACTGCCCAGCCCTTGTCTAGATTTTGCTTCTATGCAAGGATGGCTAAGCCTGGCTCCTGGCTCCTTAGCTTTGCAGGATGTTTGCTGGTAGAGACCTTGCTTACCTTTTAGTGGAACTCAGTGCATTTTTTGTGATGGGATCACACTGAAAGAAACACCAATCGTGAATAAACAATTTCTGGAAGCTGCCAGATAACATTAGTGAGTCGTCAGATGAACGTTATGTTTGCATAAACCTTAGAAATTCTTGACATATGTACAAACACATGTAATGTTTAAAGATGAAAGTTGCTTTGTAAAGATGTATTTATTTTTAAAATTACGTGTGCCTGTGTGTGGATGTGTGGATGTAGGTGTGGGTGTTTGTGGAGGTCAGACGAGGGTGTCACATGCCCTAGTCCTGGAGTTACAGGTGATAGGGGGCTGAATGACTTGGGTGCTGAGAAATGAGCTTGAGCTTAGGTCCTTTGCAAGAGCAGCAAGCACTGCTAACAGCTGAGTCATCTTTCCGACTTGGTTTTCACACACACACACACACACACACACACACACACACACACACACACCTGATATATACTAAGGTAGACAAAGAGAATTATTAATGAGGTGATAATAAAGATGGTAAGTGATCTACAGACTCGGTCTGCAGAAGACACATTCCTAACTCTCTAAACGGCTCATTTACTTTCTGCTTAGCCAAGGGGAACTTATAGCCCACTGGAATCCTATACAGACATAACCTAAGAGAAAAGTTTCAAAAGGACTAAAATAGTCTCAAAATGAGGCTTACTGAATTTCTTTGACATCTCTCTTCCAAAATATTTTTTTTCAGCTATTTTATCGCCTTTCTAATGTCTTCATGAGGCCAAGAGTAAGAGAAGTTCTGGCTGCATTTTGAAGCCAACAGAACTGGAATCAGAAACTGGAAATGTGTTCTGTAACCCAGGGAAGCTGGTGTCGTGGCACGTGCTTGGCCCTCAGGCAGCCCTTCCTTCCCAAAGGTTCAGTGGACCCTCCTAGGACTATAACAGGCTTCTGGAAAAACAAAGCAATAAAAAAAAACCCTCATTTTCTCTGGCCATTGCTAGGAAGAAGGATCCACCGATGGGCTTCTGAAGATGGATGGTAGAGCAGGCTAGGCTTGGTTCTAGGATGTGGGATCTAGCAAAATCCAGGAGTCTTACTTGATGACTGGAATGGGCAAGATGTTAAAGACCAGAGTGACCTGTACAGGACATGTGAGCACGGTCCAACAGAAGCAAATGTCTGGCTGATCCCAGGACTGTAGTTAACATCTGGTATTTTCTTTTACAGAAAGAGATGAGCTCTTGTCTTTGAGATTGGAAGAACCATTTATCTCGACTACATGAAAACTCTGATGATTGTCAGCCCTGGCTATAAGGTCAGTGCAGCCCGGTATGCCTGTTGCTATGAGACAACCACAAGGCTGTCGTTCCAAAACTTCTGCCACTTCCGACCTTTGCCGGTGGTGAGTTGGTGGTGCTAACTGTGAGCAGACACTAAAGTGTGACATAGAGAAGTATCGTTTTCTGTGTTGCGATTATGGGAGAGGAAGGGCATGTGCTATGTCTGCCCCCTCCTATGCAGCATGCCCTCAATTGATGCTCCTTCCTGTTTTCGTTTGGAATTCTCCTAGGTCTTACGTTAACTTTTGAGAATCTGTTATTTGTATGGGTGAAAGTAGAAGAGACAGTCGCTCCTTTGCATCTCGGGGGGTGGTGGTGGTGGTATAGAATGTTTCAGGATTAGAGTTGGAAACTTGGAGAGCAAACGTGACATCAACTTACAGTTCCTGGAAACTCCCTTGGGAGGTGAAGGCACTTAGTGGAAGGAAAAATTCTTACCTTAATATTTAGGCTGTTATTCCTTCCTCTTTCAGAATCCATGCTTAAGACTTTTGATCTAGGAGGAAAAGAAACCACAGAAGAGCTTGGACAAAGTACTCAAATATTCATAACATATAAGATGGTTATTTAAAATCTGAATTATCCAATAGCATAGTCAGTACCTCAGTTTAAATATATTTAAAACAGAAACTCAGCTCCTTGGCCCCATTATCCATCTTCCAGGTACTCAGAACTCAGTTACCTGTAGATCATGGCTTCCTTTTGAATGGGACAGAAAGTTGTACTAGACAACTCTATTCTAAAGCCTTGGCTTAACAGTGAAGTCCTGATGTAATGTCCAGCAAGCTTCTAAAAAGACCTGAGAGTGTCCTTCAGAATCAAGGACTTCCATATCCTAGAACCTGGCTTCTACATTGTCATTCGGGAGTGGCCTACTTAGAGAATGATGCAGTTTTGGGCTTCTTGTTGTTGAACCTGAGACCCTCCAAATATTTAATAAACAGAAATGCATATTCATTACGACTAGCTCACAAGGAAGGGGACATGATGGAGGCAAGGCTCTTTGTTTTGCTTCTGTAACTATTTACATCTGACATCTGAGGAGGAGGAGGACACAATTGTTTGAAGGAGTATTGCCCTTTTTAGCTTTTAATATCTATAGTTCAGTAAGAGTTGACAGTTCTCAGGTTTTGATGGTATTTCCAAGGGTGCATTCCATTCCTATTTCATGGCTGGGACTTTATGTATTAGGAGAAGTGAGGGTGATGACAGTTTTTAGGTCATCCTATGAATGGTAAGGAATACCCTACCTGCCAAGGGTTTCAAACAACAGCACTTTTTAAAATGCATTTTTTATGCTCTTAGTTTTAACACAGTTCACAATGTAACAGTGTGTTAAAGTTATGAAGGAAGATATGTTTCTGTAGTCCTTTAAGACTCTCATTCTAACCAGTTTACAAAAGGAGGGGCTCATTCAGCTCTGGTGGGGACCTGGGCAGAGCTCACTCTAACTCAGCTCTAAAGGGGTTACCAACAAACCGGTATGTTCCTTTGTCAATGCTCACACTTCTTTTTCAAGGAATCCAGTCTCCAGTTCTTCTTGTATTCTCTTCAAAGCTTCCTGGTACTTCTTCAAAGAGAGTTGAAGGGAGCCACAGTTACACTTGATGATTTTTCTACCCATGCAATCCCTTTTCCCTAGACTATAGAGTGAATGCTTGGAGTTTCCATGGCCACACCCTCTCAGCCTACCACCTTCTCTCTCCTTACTCCTCAGGAGGAGTAGGATCCCCAGAGTAACTGGGATTAGATATGCAGACATGCTCATTATTAACTTAAGAACACAGATACTGAGATAGCAGATAAGCAGTTAGAACCTCCCCTTCCCCTCCTCCCCCCCAAAAAAAACCCAGACAAACAAAACATAAAACAAACCAAAGGACAGTAGGATGATATGTTCTGGGGATTGCTGACCAAACAGTCTTTCCCCAGGATCATATTGTGATAATTTTTTTCTAGGTAGTATCCCTTGAGCAGCTTGGTTCTATTTCATCCTGTCCCTTAACAATGCCTCCACTGTCTCTTGCCCATGAAGCTGTACCTTTATGCAGAGAGCTTGATCTTCACAGAGCTGAGACACAAACATATAGTCTTCCATTATCTGGGAAACCAAAGTTGAGTCTTAAAGCTTTCTCAGTTTATTGCTGTAAGAGCAGAAGTATATATGTTCTGCCCTGTTTTAAACCTAAAAGTGTACACTTTTCCTGGATGTCTAAATTCATTTCATTTTGGAAAACAAATAAATCATATTTTATAGTCCAAATGATAATTACTTAGGGGAATTTGGAAAAGGAACAGATACTAGTATGTATTAGACACGGATGTTAGGATGTGTCCTGTAAAACATTCAGCTGAAGAAAATCTAGGGAATGACATTTATCTTTTTTTTATTATTCTTTAAGCCACCAAGTAGACCCAGCATGTTCCTGAGTCTGGGCCCCGATTATACGCCAATCTTTTCAGGGATATATTAGGTTGATGGATTTGTTTCCCCTCTCTGGGAAGAACCTTGAAGTCTCCTCTGTTACCTTGCTAAGCTCCTTCTCTTGCTCTGCACAGGATGATTCCAACTGTTGTAACTTAGCCTGTTGAAAGGAAGGGATGAAGACCCTCAGCAGATGAAAAGGCACAAGAGAGGCACAGCATCTCAGGGGTTATCTGATAGCTCCTGCTGCAAGAGGCCACAGGCGATGGTGGCTTTACAGTATCCAGTGTTTTGCAGCTGAATGGACTTCTCTACATTGAGCCTTGCCTGTCACTTTTGCCCTTGGATTATATAGAGTTCTTAGGCTATTTTCTCAAAAAATTACAAGTCTTGAAGAACTTGACTTTCCCTTTCCTTTCTACCTCCATCCCCTACTCCTGAACAGCTTTTATCTGTGTAGGCCTGGTTGTCCTAGATCTTGCTCTGTAATTAGTTTGATCCAGGCCTCTTGCTCAGTATTTTATCCTTCACTATATTTTTTTTCTTTGCTGTTTTACCTCCTTTTCTATTTAGAAAAACACTCTTTTATATTGGCCAGTATACTAAACCAACTAACACACACAAACGCATGGTCTCTCTCTCTCTCTCTCTCTCTCTCTCTGGAGGGCAAGGATTGATGAGGCCTTTGCCTTCATTAGGAGATGTCATTATAGTTGCGGACTTAACAGAAAAGTCAACACAATAATGGTCTGTAGAAGAGAAACAGAGTGTGAGAGGGGAGGGCGAGGTGTTAGAGGTGTGAGAGGATGATACAAGGTGGTGGGAAAGGCCTCTGGAATGAAGATAACACTTGAGCTAAGGCCTAGATAATAAATATTAGCCTGAGAGATATCTGGAAGAATTATGTTTTGTGGGTAAGTTATGGCCAAGGCTAAGGTCAGGAGGTAGTGCACATTTGGTGATCATGGACAGGTAGATGAGTATGGCAGGCAGAACAGGTAGGTAAGGCAGATAGGGGCTATATTAGAGGCCCCTGTAGCATCTAGAAGGAGTAGCATAGGTTGTAGGACATTGTAGGTTCTAAAAGGTGATTCTCAACCTTGTGTGTGTGTGGGTCTAACGCCCCTTTTACAGGGGTAACCAAAGGCCATCTAAATACCAGCTATTCACATTATGATTCGTAACAGTAGGAAAAATTACAGTTATGAAGTAGCAACAAAAATAATTTTATGGTTGGGGGTCACCACAACATGAAGAGCCGTGTTAGAGGTTTGCAGCATCAGGAGGGCTGAGAACCACTGTCCTAGATTCTGGAAGGCGCTGTCTCAGTTATATTAGATTTGCCTAGAGCCAATAGATGGAGTTTGGATCTTTATTCTAATTGCAGGGTGAATCTGGGAGAGGGCTTGAAGTGCAAAGGCAAAAATCTCATTTGTGACCTGAAAGAACAGTTTTCTCCTGCTATGGAAAATGGATGGTTTAGGAGTAACATAAGATGCAAGGAGAATAGTTACCGAGGCAAATTCAGTTGCCCATGTTCTGGTAGCTTACAGAAGTAGGGAGTAACAGGAGTGGGAAGGAGGAGTTGCATTTGGGGTGTATGTTGGAGGCAGAGCAAAAATACCACACTTCTCCCTTCATCTCTATTTTTCCTCTTCCATCTAGATGCCATGATTTGACATCTGCACGCTGCTCAGTTACTTCTTCCTTCAATTAATTGTGTCAAGGCCAGTCATCGAGATGTTCTGAAGAGCTATTCTTTCAGGCCAGTGGTGTGTGTCATAAGGTCTGGGAGCAGTTATCTCCTTAAGCGGTTGGTCTTATTACTAATATGTCAAAGGAAAAGAAGTAAAAAGAGATGCTGTGAATCACACAGTAACCACACCAGAATGCCACAGAACAGGGCTAACGGCATTCTAATGCCAAGAGTGGCAGTAGCTCTCACAAAGGCGGAGATGCAGACAGACACCACAGCCAGGCCCAATGTGTTTCCTGATTATGGCTGGGTTATCTACAGCAAAATCTGTTCTGCAAAAGAAGGGATATCGAGAGAAAACCGGTCTGCTAATATGTCAAGTATAGTCAAGGTCTTTATAACCCTTTCTGGTCTTATCTCCAGTTTCTTCCTGATGCAGCCTCAGACTCAAAATTTCCTTCTTCCCAGATGTTTCCACAGGAGCTGAGTCAAGAAAGTTTGCTTGCTGGCCTGTGTGTGTGCTCCCTAGTACTAGCCTGGCCAGCAGAAGGTGGGACAAGGATTCTATATTCTTCCACTCTATGCTTCCATCTTCAGCATCTCCATTTCTTCAGAGGCTTCAGAAAGTGTGGATTTATGAATGTATGGGGAAGTTAGATTGGGACAAAGATATAGTTCTAAATTTCAACGGAGAATTTCATCTGCTTTCTCAGTACAAAAAAATTCTCTAATTCTTGTGCTTTTCATTAGGTACATTGTAGTTAGCTTTAGGTCCTTAAAATCTGGAACATTATTAGAGAAATGCTACACATTCATAATATGTTTAGAAAATATAGTTCATTAAATAGTTTAGGGACTAAGTGGACAAATCCTTTTCTGATTGCAATCAATAATTATTCCTTATTTGAAATTCACTAGACATAGGATCCTAGGCCTGCCTTTATTAAATTTATATGTAACCTCAGCCAGACTTTTTAAGTAACAACTTCAAAATTGTTGGATGACTTTGTGAGCATTCAGATAACACAAAGGAAGAAGAACGTTTCACATACACAGCCTCAGCTGGTTCCTCAAGCTGACAATGTGAGAGGGCGAGGAAAGCCTGAAGACACACAGCAGATTAAGTACTAGAGGCAGGGTTTAAGTGAAGGACTTCAGCTCCCCCAGCGATCTGCGCTTGCTTATGTGTGCTCTGTCCTTCCCAGGAGAAGAGAGAATAAAATCTGCTGAAGAGAGAAACTCCTGAATGAGGGCAGAAGAGGGAGACAAGGCCTCCGTGGCTCTGGCTATGTCAAGTCTGATATAAGCCAAAGTATAAAAAATTTGCAGCTGCTTTGATGATCTGTGGCTACTATGTGTCCAGCTTGACAGCTGTTTTCTGGCCATGCAGTCTAAACCCACCCTTGATTGCTTTAGCCCTTACCTTGGACTTTTCGGGGGATATTTCCAGATCACCTTGTTCATATCTGACTGTCTTTTGTGATTTTCTTGTAAGCTGTAGTTTCAAATAAAAAAACACACACATTACAAATACAAACATAAATAAAATGATGATGATGATGATGATGATAATAATCACAGAGAAAAGATATCCTTTGGTGTGTGTGGGTTGAGTCATGACTATATGCAAACTCTAAGGAGATGGCCCTCGGGAGATACTTGGAGTCCTATGGAGCCATCTGTGGTTCCACCAAGCTCTTCTTACTAATCCGGTGACCTAGTCAGGACAAGCAAGCACTTCTTTCAAGTCCTAATTCAAGATGGGCTACTCAGGTTTTCAGGGTGGGTCAGAGTGGGTAGCAGTGTGGAGTTCTCTGCAATGTGAGGGGGAGGGAAGAGGAAATTTTTGGGGGTTAAGGGTAGTTGTGTGTGTGCTAAGAAGGTACAATTAACTTTTCATAAAGGTTTCGGTTAAGCACTTCAACAGAGCGGCTGTCGGAATCTATTTTTCTTGTGGTAGAATGGAGAACTAGTGAGATCACCTGGTTCACTCCTCCTTCCACTCCACACTTGCAGAGAACAGTCATGGCTTTTGGACATGAGTCCTAGCCTTAGTGTAGGGGGTCAGAGAGTGGGACCCATGCCAGACTAACTAAAGCCACCCCTGTTGTCCACATTTCTTAACTTGCCTTTTGGGGGAGGAGGATGCTGTGGAAGCATGGAGGAGCACAGAGCCCCACCCTACCTTTCTCTGAAGTTCTGAGATGCTATGAAGCAGAGCCTCATTCTTCCTCTCCTGGAGAGGAAAAGGACCAGTGTGTAAGTTTGAAAGAAAATGGCATCGTCTGTTCTTGTTCAGATGATATGCCCATTTCTTAAAGGTATTTTTTTTTCTTTTTACAGAAGTTTGAACTGATTTGTACAATGGAAGTAGATTTTGAAATCAAGTCACAGATGAAATCATTAGGAGCATAGGAGGGTTATAGATACTTATGTTTCCAGCACTAAATATTGTCCAAGAAACCGTACTCTCCCCAATTTTCTCCCATGCATGGACATAGTCTTTGGATGCAAAAGGAACAGTTTAAAAGCCTCCTCCCTGAGGACTAGGTTTCACGGTACCAGAAGGTACCAAGGAACCTTCCAAACGAGAGCCAACCAGCAGTCCCATCCAGCTTTGCCACCTGTGGATCACAATGGCAATCAGCATGGCATGATAACCCTGAGGGTGTAGTAGTGGCATTTACACTTGGTGGTAACCAGCAACTCTCTAATTGGACTTAAGACCTGCGCAACAAGAGGGAAAATCATGGCAAGTACTGAAACCCACACAACTGCTCAGGGCTAGTGAAGTCATGAATCTTGGAGAACCTTTTACTAAACCAGCCCACATTCTGCATACAACTACATTCTAAGTGTCTGTCTTTATACCCACAGACAAGAGTAGTCATAATCTCTCATCAAGGAAACTTCTCTTTGCACCGACAGAGGTCATTTCAGAAAAAGACAACTGACAAAAATGCAGAATTCTGAGCCTAGTACTGTCTGATATATCTTTAGTACAACTCCTATACCCGAGGCTCAGAGATCTTGCTGGAAAGAGGGTTGAAAAATTGTAGAAGCCAGAGGGACAGGGAATCTTCTATGAGACTGAGTCTCCTAGAAGTGTCAGAAGCTGCCAGAAGTCTTATCATGGTCACCTGAACATCACAAAACAAGGATGACAGCAGCAGATATGTCGAAGTCAATGAGGATCTCAGCCTTTCCCAATGGTTTGCCTAACTCAAAAATACTGAGAGTGAGAGAAATAGTCTCACCCAGGAAAGAAGACACAAATTAGTCATCCAATACCAAATGGTCAGCCCTGAAAACATACACAAAAGCAACAATATATAGACTGAGCAGGTTATATTTATGAATTTAGGAATACATAGACATATATGAATGTAACAACAATGAATTAAAAGAAAGTCATGGAAGAGAACAGAGTGGGGTACCTGGGAGGGTTTGAAGGGTGGAAAGGGAAGAAGGGAATGATGTAATTATAATCTCAAAAACATTTTAAAAGAATAAAAAATATGTTAATATCAATTTTATATTGAAATGACATTTCAGCTATGTTGGCTTAAATTAAATATATTATCAAATTAAGATTAAAGAAAGACTAGCTTAATTGAAGGGGGATGTGCTCTAGGGTGAGGCCAGGATGAAGCCCAAGTTGGTTTCTCTAGAAGAATGCTTACAAGTCTGGCTGTTTTTTCCTCTAGCTCCTGCAGAGCTCTCTCCCTCTCCATCGCAGCGCAGTTTTCCTTTTCCCACTCCTCATCTTCTGCAGGATCTCCAATATGTGTGATCTCATTTTCCATCCTGGATGATGCAAGCATAACCCAGAAGGACCCATGGCAGACAGTTTCAGAAGTGATAAAACTCAGATGTTTGCCATGAAGTCACATTGGTGACTACATGTGCACCCCAAGTTGGAAAGCCTTCTTTCCCAGGTCCGTAGAAGCAGGTCATGTTCAGGCCATGTAAAGAAAAGATCTGCCTTATTCCCAGGCCAAACACTCTAGTGTTCAACTCTAGGCAAGCTCTGCTTTTTTTTTTTTTTTTTTGAAGTAAATATATTTTCAAACTTGCTGTGTTTGAGGGTCCTATCCAGAGAGAATCATCAGAGTGAAGGAGAGTTGTTTGCTACAAGAGACAGAGTTCTCTAGAACAAGCAGAAAATGAGGTTATTTTCCCCTCTCCCCCTCATTCAGGCTGAGAATCCTTAAGACTCACCTCTGGATCTCATTTTCTTTTTCTTGTATTTTGAGAAGAAGCTCTTGGTTGGCTTCATCTATTCTCTGCATATCCCTTTCAAGGTCCATGTTCAAGCTGATAATGTTCTTCTTTGATTGGGCCAATCTCAAGATTTCCATTTTTTCTGACCTGTAGGCTCAGCCCCACAAGGGAACAAGGGCTGGTTATCTCAAGAGCAAAAATTACTGGGCCAAGTGGGCTCTTTAGAAGATAGGTATTGTATCCTTTGTGCACTTTCTGGGAACATACTTTTCTGTTTTCATTCTTGAAAACTCATGCATCTTAATCTCACTCTGCAACAGCTCAGTAATTCTCAACCCATCAAGGGGCATTTCGAGATAACGATGCATCTACAGTCTGATTTCAAGAGAGGCTTTACTTCCTTAAATAGCCCTGTGCTGGAGAGAACCGTTTCCCATGGCAACCTTTTCCTAAATTGTTCTCAAAACATGATTATGCAATACACTTTTATTGACTATTTTTATCTAGGCACCTGCTTCATCACTTCTGAGTTAGTCTGGCTTTATTCAGAGAGAGAGAGAAGTTTCTACTACCATAATAGGGCTTCAATCTTTCCCGTCTTGGTTCCGCTTCTCTTTGACTTCCTGATTATGTTTGATATTCTCATACGAGGGCTGTTTCAGTGTGTAATACTTTTGTTTCGAGAGGACAAACATCAGTTTTGAAAGCATTGTGAATGAAATGATAACTTTTGGAAAAGCACCTAAGAGAGGCTCACGATAAACTTTTTCTAGCATGTGAAATAATTCATTGTCTTTGGAGTTCTAAGTTGAGAGTGGTGGCTAGTATGGCTCAGGGATTTTGTTTTGGGTAGCACGAAGCATGATACTGGTAAATAAAGTCCTATCTTGGAAGGGCTGGCTTGTATGGAGGAGTTTATAGTAGTTACCACTTCCTGTAGAAGTGGACTACTTGGGAGGTGGACGGAGGGAAGGAGAAAGGAGAGGTGACTGGAAGATTAGAGAAGGTCTGAGCAGCAGACCTTCACACTGGGTGCCTGGACTGAAGCCTTTTGCAGTTACCGTTACTTACTCGTAATCCAGCTGATTTTCCTTCTGCTCTTCCATTGTAGACCCCTAAAATGTCAGCAGAGATGTGGTTATGAACAATGATCTCCCAAATAGAAAATAAATGAACTGGTTTTTCTCCCCCTCAGAGCCCATGGGTTGAACATAAAAACTCCCGCTCTTTCTGCTCATCGGACTCTGCGTCAGGAAGAGGAAGGTGCAGAGGTCTGCTGGAAAATTTCATAAGGTGTCCTGTAAGCAAACACACCTAGAGACTGTTTTGCTCTAGTAACTCAGGTTGGAATCAGAGCAAAACACTAGGACAAGACAGGGTATCAGTTTTTCTTAAGTCTCCTTTCTTTATGACCTGCTGCTCCCTTAAAGGTCTCAGGGCGTGGATATAGGTACATCACTGCCCTGGAAAATCATGGGTGTTTCCTAGCCCCCAGCCACTGCAAGCTTTTTTGGGACGTGTGTTAGTATCAGTCAGGGATCAGAAAACAAAGCAGAAGAAAACTCTGAGGCCCTCTCTGCCCTGAGCCTCTTCTACAAACTCTACCTCCCTTCTACCGATGTGCTTTGGCTTCCTGATCCTGCCCTAGTCAATTAGCTTCTGAAGACTCTCATCTCTTTCCACTGGAACCATGCAGTAGAATCTCACAACCTTCCGTGGGGTTATGACTGCACAACCGAGGCAGGATGGGCAGGTGTCATGTCACAGCGGTGCCGTTGGTAACTGGTTCTTCTTTCCAAACTTAGAGCTCTGTAGGTGTGTGGACTTTATGGTTAAGTCTGTCCTACACATGGATAAGCTTCAGGGAATCTGGTTTCTAGGCAGTACAAAGGGACATTTTTCCAAAACTTATCATGTCTCTGGAAAACGGGGCTTTCTTTCTGTCCAAGTGTGATGAAGATAAGAAATTTGGTCTTGTGGCCATGGTGATGCTACCATGTACCCGATTAATGACACATTCATCCTATGGGTATTGAAAAGTAAAGGTACCAGTGTCTTTAAGAGGTAAAAGAATAACCCAGAGCACTTGCCTTTATGAGAGAGTTTAGATTCCAAAGTGTGTGTGTGTGTGTGTGTGTGTGTGTGTGTAAATGAGTTGATTTTATTTCATATAAAAAAAGGGAGAATGTGAAAATATGAGCAGGTGAAGGGTAGCAGGGAAGGCAACAAGTGTGTGGAAAAGGGAGGATTCTACAGTTTTAAACTGGACAGTGAAGAGAAGCCATGGAGCTTCCTCGTGTTTGAAAGTAGCATATGTCAATGTGTGAAGAGGCTTTATGGACATGAGGAGAACTTGGGGTGTGATGAGATGAATGTGAGACCAGCAGACACAGCAACACCAACCTGGGGCATGAAGACCCAGTTTTGCCTGCCGAGGCTCATGGGTACACCAGAGCTTGCTAATGGTCTGAGTTAGAGATCAAGAATCACCCCTCCCCCCAAGACTGAGAAATTACAAGAGATTTTGACATTGACAGTAACTGTGATTATCTTGAATTAGCTCCACTATGTCTTCTCTTGAAAGCTGTAGGGGAGAATCATTCACAGAAAACAAAGTCTATGCATTGTTGGTCCTATATTATGTGGCTAATAAGTGGATATTAGCCATATAATATAGGACAGCCATCTACAGACCTAAAGAAGCCAAACACTAAGGAGGAACCTAGGGAGGATGCTTAAATCTCATTCAGAATGGCAAACAGGATAGACACACCAGAAGCAGTGGAAGAGAGGAAACAGGATGGGAGTCTACTATAGATGGTCCTCTGAAAGGATTCAAGCAGCAGGAGTTGAGGGAGAGGGCTTCATTTGGGATTTTTAATGAATAAATTGTGAAGGAAAAAATAAAAAAAAAAAGAATGTATATTCTTTATATCCAAACACATGTATGTGGCGGCCAATTCTCCACAGGTGGTACTGTCTTCTGGGTGTGAGTCGCAGAAAACTGTCAAGTTTCAGGTACTCAGAGAGGACCACACTAAGGTGATTTGTGAGCCAGACCTACTTCTTAACGTACTGAAGTTTCTAGCCAACTATTTGTAAAATTAATGGCCTCTGATGGCCCCCATTACCATCTCCTGAAAGAAGGCATTTCATTGCTTTATGAAGCTGTACACAGAAGAGTAATTAAGTAACAATTCAGGCCAATGGCCTCTCCTAGGAATTGATGGTAGGGAGAGTTCATTAACCCCAGCTGGTTATAGCTTCACCAGGAAATGCCCTGGACCAAGGTTATTGCAGCTGTTAATGGATTGGACAGGGACTTTAACTGGGATAAAAATAAAGCCGAGTCTCCTTCCAGGGGAGCCTTTCTCCTTGAGGGGCTACCTCCTTAGGCTGGATGAGCGGCAGAAACTCCAGCTTGGGGCCCTGCAAGGATGAGGACAGCAGATTGCTACCAGTGAGAATCATTAAATCAAGGTGGAAACAGGGCCTTGGGGGCAAGTTAAGGTTTTTGATACAAGCCCCTTCCTGCCGACCACAGATGGCTTGTTTAACACCCAGTGCAGCTTTTGGAGCAGCTGTTCTCCGTGGTAAAGTTCCTATGCCCTCCCCCTCCGGAGGGAAGAGTGTCTGAGATTCATCTCTTGTCTCACCTCCCGCTGTCAGAAATGCCTCTGCCTTTGTGTGTAACTCTGTTGGGAAACTCTTGCCCCTGATTCCAGGCTGGGAGCCCCTGCTGGATTTGCTGGGCCTGTGCCCATTTGCTGTGGGGGCTGGCCAGGTAGGTGCACCTGAGCCCTGAGCCCTGAGCCCTGAGCCCTCAGTGGAAACGGCTGAGTGCCTCCAGCTGTTTGGTGGGGTCTGTGGGAAAATGCAAAGCCAACTTCTCTGCTCACCGAGTTTGTCCTCTCTTTAAATGTGTATCGGATGTTTTTATAGGTAAGTCTGGTTTTGAGGTTCATAGCTGAGTGAGGGTTGAGGACATCTTATTAGAGAATTATTCCTCACATACACTGTATCTCCTGTGTATTTTTGCATTTGTAGTTACTATTATTGTGTAAAGTTTAGGTTCATTTATAAAATCTCTTTGAATTCCCCTTCAGAATACATTTCTAGTATCCACAAAAGCATACACTTGAGCTACCGAAAAGAGTCAGAGATAGATAGAGATATCTCTGGTATATATGCATGTCTCAAATATATGTATCTCTCTATATACATATCTATATTTATATATCTGTTATTTGACCCAGACTGGCTTTTTCCTTCTTAGTTATATGCAAGCCAAAATTCAAACGCAGCATAATTTAATATCCAATAAAACTGACTTGCTCTTCCTCAGGAGCCACCCGATGTCCAAAGCACCTGAGTCAGGGAAGGAGATTCCTGCTCATCCTGTCCTGGAGCGCCGACTTTCTCCATGTCCTGCAGAGATGGGCGCAGGCAACCACAGGTGTTACCAATTCAACAGTGCAGTAGTCCTGTCGTGTGCAGAAGGCAGCTTTGATCTGGTCATCCCTGACCTCTGGGTTTTATCATCTTCTGTGATGGCCTCGGAGCCCATGCATAAGAACACGTGATACATTTATCCCATTTGTGCTTGAGCACTCCACTGACAACACATGTGGGAGACACCTTAGCCAAACTTTATTTCTTCTTATGTGCCTCTGCGTGTGGTGTGTGCAGGTGCCTGTGCCTGCAAATGTACATGTGTGCTCGTGGGTTTAAGTGCACATACACCTGTGTGTGTGTGTGTGTACATGTAGAGACCTGAGGCTGGCATCCAGAGCCTTTCCCCATTGCTTTGCCTTTTATTCATTGAGGCAGGGTTTCTCAGCTGAATCCAGATCTCACCGGCTAGTCTATCAGGCCTGCTTGGCTCTGAGGAGCTCCTGTGCCCATGTTCTGAGCTCTAGAATGCCAGGCGGGCTGGAATGGCCTCTGGCATAAATTCCACCTGGCATTTATGTGGGAGCTGGAAACGCTGGTTCTCCCATTGGTGTATCCAGTACTTGGACATTTTCTCAGTCCCTTTGCTTATTTTGCATTTGTGCCTATAGCTTTATTCTCCATATTTGCAGTTAGAGTACGATCATTATTTAATTATGAAGATCCTAAGCAGAGTGACTAGAGTCTTTGCACATGAACTCATAAAGTTCACACATACCCTAATTCGACTTCATGCTCTTTTCCCAAGTCTTCTAACTCTGATTTTTTTTTGTCATTTATGAAAACACAAATTGATCAATTTTTTTTTATTAGACAGAGACCTTTCTAAATGTCAAGAGTTTGAGTATCTCTTGTTAATTAAGGCAATGTTATGTTTGGATGTTTATACTCTTAAGTGATTTCCCATTAGTTGAGGCTATATATCCCATCTTTATTCAATTAGTTAATGGAAAATGTTGAACACGTAGTGTGTTCTGATCCAGGTGATGGGATGACCCAAGAAGAGCACAGTACTGAGCTTTCCAAAGGAGACAAATGTGTGTGTGCTCTACCCTGAGATGGAGTGGATGCTCTGGTGGAGACAGGTAGAAAGTGCTCTGGGATTCGGATGCACAGTCAGTCACTTTGGTGATTTAAGTGTGCTTCGGTAGGCCAGTGACTTTCTATCGACTTGAATCCTAATGTAGAGAAACAACTCTGCCAAATAATGGAAGGATATTATAAGCAGAGGTAAACAGTGACTTTGAGAGCACAACAGACCCAGTGATGGGCAAAATTCAGTGTTGTTCCTCAGAGAATATTAGCAGGTGTATTATGAGAAAAGTGATGGTCTAACATGACTCTAAGCGGGGTGTAGAAAAAACACTGCCAACTTGAAGATTTAAAAAAAATGTTAAATTTTAATAATCTTATGTGTGCGGGTGCTTTGCCAGCTTGTATGTCTGTCTATCACATGCATGCCTAATTCCCTCAGAGGCCACAAGAAGGCATTGGGTCCCCGGAAACTTAAGTTACAGATACTAGGTGCTGGGAAGCAAACCCAGGTCCTCTGAAATACATTGCATAACTCTTATGAAGGGAAACCATTAACGGGGGCTTGCTTACACTTACTGTCATGGCGGGAAACATGATGGCACGCAGGCAGACATGGTGC